GAGGCCACTATAATTGACTTCTTTTGGTGATAATCAGGTGTCTGGATGTAGTCACTGAGCTTTTACAGCCTCTTGAGGAGACCTGTACAATACACTTAAGTGGCAGATAGCAGAGAAATGAGTGAGTGGAAGTTGTTACTGAATCTGAGAACCTTGTGGTATGGGGAAATGCAGTGATAAGCTACCAGTTGCTCTAGTTTCCTCCAAGACCCTTTTATTTATCTTTCTAGTAAAATTAGGTAAAAGCAGAGTGCAATATCATCACAATTTATATTTGTGGTTTGTGTGCCTGCAGGTCTCAGTCCTGTGCTGTGGCAAATATTGCCTGCTTGTTGCACAGCAGAACAAGTTTTTTAGGGAAGTCCAGAAGAATTGGAGAAAATTTCCTGGATAGATTTCTCAGTATTACCACTGTTATGCCTTGTATGTAAGGCAAATTAAAAGCGAGCTCTGCCTTTGTTCACATCATTGGCAGTATTTTCACTAAGGTTCATGATCAGGTCATTAGCCCTTGTCATTTATACAAATAGCTTAAACAGCTTCACACAAGAGGAAATACATTGGGAATTCATTTACTCAGTAACAGCCAAAGAAAGTGATGTTTCACCTTGTGTTAAGAGCAGCCAGAAACAATGTGATGATGGCTTTTGGATGTTGTGTGCTTTTGGTGCCTCTAACAGAATCATCACTTGATCACAGAAAGGGTGTGTAAAGAAATAGCAAACCAGCTGTATTAACTGGAAGATGAAAAGAACAAATTTGTGCACTCTGTAGTGGCAAGAGGTAGCTCAGTTTCTTTCCTTGTTTAAAATATGTAAATCTGGATCATACCAGAAATGGAAGAGTGATTTTGGTCTGGCTCCAGTATACATCAGCGGTACAACTGACAGACTGGGAAAGAAGCAAGATTGGAACAAAGGTGCTATGGTGGATTGATGTTGAGGTCTGGTCATTGTCTGCCCACTGAAGCGTCTTTTGGCATTGCCTGGCTTGTCTTTAATTACACAGGAGATTCAATCCGCTGATTCTGCTCTTAGGATCTTGCTGAATGTTTCTGTACTTGCACTGTAGCTCATTTAAATCAGTACTCGAACATGGGAAAGCCATGTAGCAGACACACCTCAGCTCTCCCTAGAAATGCTGTAGTATGTGACATTCAAGAATTGACAGTTGCAAAAAGAAACATCAACAGAAAGACAAGAATTGTCACAACCTGGACAAACTCAAACTGCTGCCCAGAAGGACCAGGTAATGTTTCAATCACATTTTGTTAATCTGCCTGGAATGTCATGGTAGCATTAATTTGCTTCTTTGTCCATGAAAACAAAATGCAGAAGACCCTGCTCTAGAGAGTACATTTGTACTGATGGGGGAGAAATAATGCTTCCAACAGGTTAATTTGGAAAGCTTGTAACAACCAGGTTAATTTTGAAAGCTTGTAACAACATAGACTCAGAAATCTGACTTAGAAGGATTAGGTCTTTCTCATTCTTCAACCCAGCAATTTATACACACACAATCTCCTTTTCTTAAGGTAAACCTAAAAAAGAGAACCTTCTCTTCTTCAAGGCATTAATCCCAACTGAGAGTGTGCTGTACATGTATACTTTTTACTTTTGTGAAATATTTGCTTCTTTTATACCATCTATTGTACTGAAGAGAAACACTTGCTAACACCTTGACTGCCCCGTGTTCATGTTTTAGCAGGCAGCAGCTGTTGGTTTCTGAAGTGCAGGTGTGTGAAATCGGTCCAAATACCGTAATGGTATAAGGGCAGAAGTGAAAAACTGAAATGTATGTTTTCATATGGTATAGCGTTCTGTCACAGTTGACTACAAAAATTACATACTTTGCCCTATGATTACATATTCTTATGCTTCTAGGAGAGGGACAATTGGGTTGCCATTCTCTGCATCAGTTGTATTTGCTAAATTTGTGCAGCAGGAATGCTTGGGCAAACTAACTGTAAAACTAGAGGCAGCTAGTCATTGCTATAGGCCAAATTTATCTTTAATGAACTTTAATGTTGGTGATAAATGCTTAAGAAGTCAACCTGCGTGATTTTTCAGGTCATTGGACAAAATTGCAGGTGAGAGTGTTTTTGTTTCCCCTCCTGTACGGACACCAGATGTAAGAACACAGCACCTCAGCTACTTCTGAACTGAGCAACGTAAGAGCGGCCGTATTTCTCTATGTTAATCATGTGACAAAAAACGAGACTACCCTGCTAGTGCAGTAAAACAAAATGTCTCTGAGAAGAAGGTGCATTTGACAAGGTGAGAATGAACAATAGCCAAGCGGAAGAATGCTGTATGAATTCTGAGGATTAGATTAATGAATCAGCAGCTCAGTCCTAAACCATTCATAGAATAAGCAGGTATCTCAAACTCTTACTGGGATGCCTTGCACAGAACAGACTTAAAAAAACCCAGCAACAGCCAAGCAAACACCCACAACTTTATAATTATTAGAAAAAGGAAGTACTTAAAAAAACAACTACTTCTGAGGTTTGTTTAATCAAAGAACTAAGCAACTTGTGTAAGAGAGCTCCTGGTGATCAGTAACCATAATGTTACTTTTTCTACCCCACTCTCATGCCTTTTATTTTTCAAAAGGTGACATGAAACAAAGGATGATACAGACAAAAGTCTTACTCAAATGTTTGTTTTTTTTAAGAGAGTAAGAGAATAAAGAAAACAGAAGAAAATTATTAGCCAACTGCAACGGAGTTAACAAACGGGAGACTGGTAATTAGTTTTTAATGCCACCTATAGCAAAAATGTTTCCCACTGGGAAAAACACAGGAGGCAAGTCCACTTTGCTCCTTCAAAGTCACAGGCCGGAGCAGAACATACAACAGCACCTAACACCACAGTCACTTTACATATATTCAAGTTTTTACACATCTGCAAAGCAGAAGTAGTAGCAGCCATTTGGATGTTCTTTCTTAATGGTTCTCACAGAGGGCCTAGAAAACTCGGAGGGACCTGGTTCTTGTGTCATGGAGCTGGAGCTGCTGCTGCTGCTTCTGCTGCTGCTTCCAGCCACCTGCACTCTACCTCTGTCCTCAGGAGGGGAGATCTGTGGGGAACCTGGGCTCAGGTACCCAGCTGTGGTCTGAGTAGAGGCAGTGGCGTGTGTGGTCGGGCCAGTGTTGTTTTTCACATAGACGTTTTTGATAGCAACAAGCGTATGCGCCATGATGCTGATGCTGTTACTCAGATCCTGCATGCCTTGCTGCAGCAGCCGAAGATTGTGGTTGACACTGTCAAAGCCAGACTGGATCACCTGCATCTGGGTCTGCTGAATCTGCAGTAGGTCCTCTTCAGTTATTTCATTTTGATCTGCCTGGGACCTGCCTTTTGTTTTGGCTTTTACTTTCCCAGAAGAACTACTGCCTGATGTCCCTAGAAAAGGCAGTTCTTGATTAGGTGAAACCACAACCATGTCCTCAGAGCTTTCTTCTGGCTCTACCACCTTCACTACTATTTCTTCTTTGAGGTTCATCTTCTCAACACTGCATTGATGAGATGGGCCAGGATTGCCATTAAACCCTAGAGGAGAGGGGGGAAGAGGAAAATCAAAGGAGAGACAGTGAGAAACTTCATAACCTTGATGGTCAGTGAAATGTGTTCTCATCCACTAAGCACTAACATTAGTCCTTGAAACAAGACTCTCAAACTCATACTATGTTATCTTTGATGCTTTTAGAATACACCTCGATAGGTGGGAAGAAAACCATAAATATGCATTCACCAATTAACCACACTACAGATCCCTTACCAGCCCTACCACAGAAGCTGAACTTCAGGTTCCAAGAGACAAAGTTCATTGCAAGCTCATTGCACACTCTACTGTGCACCAAGTAACCAGTAAGAGCATTGATGAAACACTGATAGCAAGAAATCCCATGGTATTGAAGGTGATCATTTCAACGTGCTAACGCAATGTCTCTGCCACGTAGTAACTTATGTACTCGCAGCACTTTGCACTTGCAAGAACTGTGTGCTGCCATGGCTTTTTGGCTTTTGCATTTGCAAGAATAAGTACTGCAACGGTGAAGATCAGTGGCAGGTCTAACGGCTCGACGATGAGCAGCGTCTGCTACAGGACAGGGGTTTTACTCCTGGGTGCTGTTTTGGTGCACTTTTATGACCTACAGCACAAAGCCTCACAGTTCAGTGTGCGTGCATACGCGTTTTGCATTTCCAAGGACGGAAGGTGGCTATCCGAACCAGACCTTTCCAGCGCGGCTGGTGCCCGCAGCGCCCTGCGCGAACGCAGCGGGCGGGCAGCGCCGACCCGCCGCGCAGAGCGCGGGACGCCGGGCGGAGGGTCCGGGGCGGTGCCGCGGGGGTCGCTCCCGCACTCACCCACGTCCCCCACGACGGCGCCGGGCAGCTCCAGCGTGTCGATGCCGCCCACGATGGGCACGGCCTCGGCGGGCAGCAGGGAGCCATAGCCGCGGCGCTGGCGGCGGGCGGGCGGCGCAGGCGGCAGCTCCTCGGGGGCCAGAAGGAGGCCGAGGGCGGGGGGGCCCGGCGGCCCGCAGCCCTGCGAGAGGCGGCACAGCTTGCTGCGGTCGCGGCGCTTCAGGTCTCGCCAGCGCTTCTTCAGGTCCTCCACGTCGCGGGGGCAGGCAGCCACTGGGTTCACCTTGTGCCGGATCAGCTCCCACACCTTCCTCTTCTGGCCCGGGGAGGCGCGGCCGGGTCCCGCCGCGAACAGCAGCTGTTCGTGCTTCAGCACCTGCTCGATCAGCACCTCCGTCTCCGCCTCGTTGAAATTCGCTTTGCGCCGCTTGGGCGAGTCCTCGGCCATCCTCCGCCGCGGGGGCTGGCGGGCGGGCGGGCGGGCGCGGACCGGCGGGGGGGGCGCCGCTGCCCTTCCCTCCGCCCCGGCCCGCGGGCGCCGCCGGCGCCGCCGCCGCTAGGCCGGGGCCCGAGTCCTGCTGGGGAAGCAAATACCGCGCATGAGAGGAAAAGACGCGCACGGACCGGCGCAGGCGCCCCGTGCCCCGCGTGTTGACATGGGGAGGGGGCGCGGCCCCTGCCCGCCTCCCCGGCGGGAATCCCCGCTCGGCACCGCCCCCGCGGGAAGGGGGGACACGCCGGGCCCGCCCCCGGCGCGGGTTGTGCGCGTGCTCGGCGGGAGCGCGGCCGGGAATGGCGGCGGTTTTGGAGCTGCTGCTGCAGGAGGAGGTGCCGGTCAGCGCCGTGGTGCGGTGGCTCCAGCACGGCCCCGGCCACCGCCCGGCTGAGGTAACGCGCGGCAGGTCGTCGGCTCGCCCTCCCGCAGCGCCCCGGCTCCGGCGGGGCCGGGCCCGCCGCCGCGCCACTCCCCCAGCGCCCTCCGCCGCCGCGGGCCGGGGCCGAGCGGGAGAGTTTGTGCTCGCCGGCAGTGGGGGCGTCCAGTCCGCGCTGCTGTGAGGGACGAAGCCGCGCGGGTCGGCCCAGGCCCCGGTCGGTGCCGTTCTGCCACCGCGCACTAGGGCCGGGCTCCCGTCCAACAGCGGCGGCACCGCCCCCGGCGCGGGCGGGCTCCGGGCAGAGCGGCGGGAAGGCGAGGCCGCCGGCGGGATCTACGTTGGGAGCTGCCAGGCGGGTGTGGGAATCCCGCTAACATCCGCAGGGCTGAGCCCGCCAGCCGGGCGGGAGCAGCGGGGGATCGTGCCGGGTGCCGGCGCACAGCGCGGGGGGGCGAGGGGCGGCAGTGCAGCGCCGCGCCGCTGGTGTGTCCTGAGGAAACGCGGTGACAGGACGGGGTGACGCTTCCCGCGTCTTTGTCGGGGAAGGTGGCGGTGAGAGAAAGACGAGGCGCTTGGCAGCCAGGGCTTGGCGGTGGCTCTATGCAAGCGCTAGCGCGCCTCGCCCGCCGGGATGTTGAGGAGGATCTTTCTTGGGGCTGGGAGAAGGTGCTTGTTGGCCGAGTTTTGTAATGGGATATGCCTGGACGATTTGGGTTCTTGTGGAAATAAAAACATTGTAACCAGAGATGGACTAGGACTGCCTATATTTCACTAAAAACATAGAGATAAAATTTGTTTTTAAAGCATTTTCTGCCTGAGCCCCTCATGGCGTTTTACCCAGTGTTAAAATCAAAACTCACTGGTATCATCCACATGAGTTAGCTGAGTATCATTGTCATCCTAAACGGATGGACTAGCAGCTTTATGCTGTGTGGTATTTCTTCAACTGTGACTTGCAGAAGCGGGTCTGTGGAGGTTAAGAAGTTTGAGATGCTGGCAGCTCAGCTAGCACTGCATAGGCAAGAGGTGAGGAGGCAAAAAAGTTTGCCCTTGCAAGGGAATTGCTCGCTGCCTTTTGCTGCTGGGAGAAGCTCAGTTACTTCAGCATGAGAAAGCAAGTACGAAGTTTGCAGCGAGTACGAAGTTGCAGTTTGCTGTTACCCAAACATGGAGGAACCAAACCTCAGTTAACTTGGACAGAGAAAGATGAGTGAATGCAGGTTGTGCTCTGAAAAGCTGCAGAAAGTACCTGACCTTATGCATGGTATAGACTAATTATCTTGTGCCTCTATGCTAAACTCGGGGGCACACAAGAAAATGGTAGGCTACGTCTTGCTCTAGCTTTCATGGCAGTTTCAGACTGGAGGTGGTCTTCTGACACCTCTCAGGGATTGTGCTCTGACCTGTGTTGGAATCTCATGTTCCTCCAAGAAGCTGAAGTGGTCTCACACTTTCAAATATGAATTTCAGCATAGGTATGGAGGATTTTGGGAGTCCAGTCATAGGCATGCTTTCACTGCCTCCTTTCATGCAAAAAACCACCTTCAGAAATAGTGTTTGCTTTTTTGACTTTTCATCTAGTAGAGGTGTGAATATAAATTAACTGGAGTATGTGTACAATGACTTTAATATTAGTAAGGAATAAGTTGCTGCCTATGAGAACTTCTGTTGTGGCTAATGTTGCTGAATCCCATTGAGAGGAGACAGAAACCTGGTGCAGTGTTACGAACAAAAGAATTTTTACCAAGTTTACAAAACTTTGCACTATGCATGTAACATGAAGTCTCTTTTTGTCTAGATTTACCGTTGTAAGAACACCACTACCTGTTTAGATTTTAAATGTGTTGAGTCAGTGGTGGGTTTTTTGTTTAAGTATAAACTTCATTTGCCTTAAGGTTGTAGAGTTTCTGTTTAGACCTCCCTGAGGCCTAAAGGGAGGAAAATTATTTAATTGAAATGGAAGAGCAGCTTTGGTCTTGTATTTGGCACTGCAGGACTCCGAGTGCTTAAACAGTTGTTATAGCACCCCTCTGTGGGAGCAAGTGGCATTTATAGACAAATAAGGGACAGAGAAGTTGCAGATTTTAGATTTTTCTATTAGAATTAGCTGCTTTCAGTATTGATGTCTTTGAAATGTTGAATTTTGGGGTGTCAGTCGCTCCAAGTTCTCCCTGGCCATAGCTTCAGGGAGTATTACTGGTGTTTCCATGGAACAGTTCCACTGTTTCCCAGTCAGAGACCAAAGTGAATGACTCCATCTGAAAACTCGTGCCAAAATTGCTTGTGTGGAAGCTGATCTTCAGATCTGTGACCAGTGCTAAGGTTGCTTGAATTTCAGTGACCTATTTTGCCAAGTCATGTTTTTTATTATGTATTGCAATCTCACAGTTACTACTTAAATGAATCTAAGTACATGGACAGAATGAAAAAGGTGGCTTCTTTTATATTGATTCTTTGTCCTCTTTTCTTGTAGGAAAACCACATCCATGACAAGCTGGTATCTCTTAGTTTGCTTCAGAAAGATTTTGTGCCTTTTCTGCTAAATTTTTTAAGGGAGCAGACCAGCCAGATTCTGACTAATGGACCCTCTACTCCTGCTAAAACACCTAATTCCAAGGCCCATGGGAACCAAAGGACAGGATCAGAAAGGAGAGCAGGCCATGCAACCAGCAGCCGAGTGCAGCTCTTTTCCCAAAGGACTTCAGTGACTACCTGCACCACAGATACCAGCTTTTCTCCTGCTGCAGCATCCGGCAGTTCCTCTTCCTTTTCTGGGTCAAACCTCTCTAGCCCTTGTGGTGATTTCCCAAGCGTGGTGTCCAGTAGCAGCCCGAGCTTTGGGTACAGCCCTGTTCTTCACCACGGGGAGAAGCGGTCATCTCAGAAGGCCAGCTTGGGGAGCTTCCTTACAGCCACGCCGGAAGCCCTGCCAGTGAGACGAGGCCGAAGGAAAGGAAACAGCTCAGTTGGTGCCTCTGGCCGGCAGGTAGCTCGGGATCTGGGGCGTTCCCTTGCTGAAGAGGAAGATGGAAAGAGTGACAGTGTATTGTGGAGTGGAGGGAGAAGGAAGCGGAGTGAAGTGCCTCCTGATTCTGCCAGATCCCCATCCAGCCAGCTAAACCTAAACAACTTGGAGGAGTTCCCACCCATGGGTGCTGCCTCTGGCTGGACAAAGTAAGAGCAAGTCTGCCTCGCTGTCTCATTTGGATTGTGCTGCAGGTTACTGTTTTCTGACTAACTCATCCTGTTGTGCGTGTCCAGATGCAGAAGATACTGTAATACATGATGCCTGACTCCTTGGTCAGAACTGCTCTCTTATGGTCACCATGCAGGGAGGGGAATATTGCTTCAATGGGTAGCCAGGTTTCCACTCTCTGAACTCACCCAAGACTCCTCTTTAGCCTCTCACTTGGGATGCTGCCTGCAGCTTACCGGTGCACGGTCCAGCTCATGTTAACCCAGAACATCTTTGTCCTTGCATGTTCTAACAACTCAGTGTTATCTTGGCTCTTCACATTTCTCATTTAGCATAACAGCAGTTGTTAAGGAAGAGCAGTCTTAGAAGGCTCTTCAGCTCTACTGATGCTATCAAAGAAGCTTTTGGATTGACATTCTGTGGCTTCTGGCAGCAGATGTTAGTGTGCAACTTTGTGCTGTGTGATCATGGACAAAATAGCTAGCTGTATTCTTGGTCTGCAGCAAGCCCTGGTCGCCTTGGTGACTTTGGTTTAGCTTCTGGGCAGCTGTTTGTGTTGTGGTTGCCTCAGTCCTTTTATCTTTCTCTTTTACTCTTTAAAATCCTCTTTAGCAAATACGAGGCTTTCATGTCAGCCTGTTTACTCCATATATCAGTCACTGGTCTCTGAAAGTGGGACTTTCTAGTTGGACATGCAAAATTCCAACTGAAAATTATTAATGTGTGAGTCTGTACAGCAGATCCAGATGCTGAGTCCAGACGGTGCTCTAGATGAGGCTCTTTGGCCAAGGGAGATAAAGTGTGTTTCCAGAACAGACAGCAAGTATCTCTTCCTCAATTACATTATGCTCAACTAGGAAAAAGAAGGAGGAAGGAGGTCACGGAGTGTTTGGAAGTCTGTGCTATATGGATTTTGAAAACACTGTATCAATTAATATGTAACAACCAGCAAATCCTTGAGAAGTGTAATGCTTTATGTTTCTGTGTCTCATTTACAGTTTTTTAGTGCTTTTTACTAGTTTATGGAACCTCTTCTTGAAAGATAAATCTTAAGTAGTATATGCAGGAAGGATGAGTTTCCTTAAACTTAAAGGGCCTATTGTAACTTCAGAGCCTGGACTCTTACACAGACATAGATGGACAATGGCACCTTGATTGGTTTTGGTGGTTTTTTTCTCTTGGTCATGTTAGAAACTCATTCACCGTCAGTTTCTTACTAAAATGGGGCATATCTTGTCCTCTCAAATTAGAACTGTTTAGAAGGATTGTGTGGCACTGTGTTATCTGTTAATAAATTTTGCAGCAGGGTCAGCAGGCGGTTTTTAGCAGTCTGTACCTTCATGACTTTTATTCAGTGACCAGAATAAAATCAATAACTATATATATAGTTTAGAAATTCAGTATCCTGACTCCATTTTATTTTAGCATCAGGTTTCTCTGCAAGAGTTGCGTGCGTATCTCTCAAGACCTAATTTTTTTGTTGTTTACCTTGTTTTTAGTGGCATTGCTTCTCATTTTTTCAGCAAAAGCAAACCATCGAGGCGAATCAACCCAACTCCTGTAAGTGCTGAGCGCCCCCTCTCAAAACCAAAGACGTGCTTCACTTCTACTCCTGTTAGTCAGTCTCCAGCTGCTCGGTTGTCATCTGGGTCAAGCCTTGAGGCCTTTACCACTGTCCAAGAAGGAAACCTTACATCTGTGATAAGCAACAGCCTTCAAGAGGAGAGGGAGATGCTGAAGAAAGAACGGTACAGTCTGAGCAGGGGGGTGATAGGCTTGTATTGATTCTTAATTCCCTCGTGTCCTGGTTCCAGCCAGGATAGAGTTAAGTTTTGCAGTAGGCAGGAGGGGACATGGCTGGGACCCAGGGGTTATTCTATACCACCTCATGTCATTTTCTGGGGACTGGGAAAGGGCTCTCTTTTGGGTCAGTGTAGTGTGGTAGAGGGAGCAGTCGGGTATTCTCTATTGTTGGGAGGTGTCTGTGTGAATCATTCTGCTCTTTCTTGTACCCTCTGTCAGTAGTATTGTTGCTGTTACTGTTCATTTTCTCATGTCTTTGCTGTTTCCCATAAGTTGTTCTTAACCCAACCTATGATCTTTACCTTTTTTGTCTCCAGTTCTCCTCTCCATCCTGCCACGGGGGGAGGGGAGAGCAAGCGAGCAGTGCGTGGTTTGGAGAGTCTGAGTGAGAGCACTGAGCTGGGGAGTACCACTCCTAAACCACAACAGCTTTAGTGCCCAGTGTGGGACACAAAGGGTTGAGAGAACAACAGATCTGCCCAGAGTGGACTGGAAACAAGTTTGATCTAACCATTTGTTGTATTAAGTCCAGAGCCACTGGTCACAATGTTACTTGGTCTGTTCATGTTCTTGTGGTACCTAACCCTGTATATGTTTCTGTAAGTACACTATCTACCCATCATTGTGCTCTGTCAGAGCAGGGAGAGAGATCAGGATTGCTTTGTTGATGTACTATGGGATATCAGTTTATGACATGGTAACATTAAGGGCAATGAGGGTCATTTGGGATGTGTCTTTAGTGTGGTTCTCCTACCCTTTCCTCGCGTCCTACCTCTGGGAGTCCATTAATAATGGTACCCAGTCTATGGGGAGAACAGGGGAGGATGATTTCTCCCAGCTTTTCACCCCTTTTTCTCCTTCAGGCCTGTTATAACAGCTTTTGAGAATTTTGAATTTCCTTTGGTTGTTAAGGGAAGCATATTCTTGTTGATATGTCTACTATGTCTCCTCAGTAAAATCTACACCATGTTTAGAGTCAGTACAGTCAACATCATGTCTGGAGTCGGGACAGAACAAGATGTGAAAAATGTTCTTTACACTTCAGCCAGGGAGAATGGTCCTTCCTGGAGTCTCTGGCAAAAAGTACCTGTGGAGACTCAAGGATGACCCTTTGGGTTCTGGAGTCAGGGATACAAAGGATCCAAGACCTGTTACATCCGAACTGAAAAAGAGATCTTAACATCTTATGAAGGGCTTTGAGCAGCTTCAGCAGTGATTGGCACTGAAGCACAGCTCCTCCTGACATCTCGACTGCCAGTGCTGGGCTGGATGTTCAAAGGGAAAGTCCCTTCCGCACATCATGCCAATGCTACATGGAGTAAGAGATTGCTCTGATCACACAGTGAGCTTGAATGGAAAACCCTGGTTGCCCAGCGAAAGTGAGAATTTTGGACTCTCATCATCAGAGGAGAAGGTGACATGCTGAGGAGGCCCTACCATATAATCAGCTACCAGAAAGTGAAAAGCAACACTCTCTCTTCACTGACTGTTCATGCCGTATTGTAGGGATACATCGAAAATGGAAAACTTCCATATGGAGTTCTACACAGCGGGTCACAGGAGCTGTCGAGGGACCAGGTGGATCAAGTCAGGTTGCAGAGCTGGCTTTAGATATCGCTGAATGAGAGAAATGGCCAGCGCTCTACCTCTACACTGACTCGTGACACAGAGGTTAATCCCACCTGGACTGCTGAACTGTGGCAAGACATCGCTGCCTGGGTAGAGAAGCTGACTGTGAAAGTTCATCATGTAGATGCACATGTACCCCAGAGTTGGGCTACTGAAGAACATCGCAACAATGGACAGGTGAATTGGGCTGCCAGGATCAAAGTGTCTCGGGATCTGGACTGGCAACATAAGGGTGAATTATTTCTGGCTCGGTGGACCCGTGATGCCTCAGGTCATCAGGGAAGAGGTACAACATGGAGATGGACTCATGATCGAAGGGTGGATTTAACCATGGACACTATTTCCCAGGTTATCCATAACTGTGAACCATTCATGGCAGTCAAGCAGGCCAGGCAGGTAAAGCCTGTGTGGTATGGTGGGTTGAAATACGAATATGGGGAGTCCTGACAGATTGATTGCATCACACTCCTGCAAACCTGCTGACAATGGTGGAAACAACCACTGGATGGTTGGGGATGCACCCTGTGTCCTGTGCCACTGCCTTGAACATCATCTTGGGCCTTGAAAAGCAAGTCCTGTGGTGACATGACACCCCAGAGAGATTTGGGTCAGACAATGGGACTCATTTTAAAAATAGCCTCATAAACACCTGGGCCAGAGAGCACGGTATTGAGTGGGTATATCGTATTCCCTATCATGCACCAGCATCTGGGGAAAGTTGAATGGTACCATGGACTGTTAAAAACCACATTGCAAGCAATGAGTGGTGGAACCTTCAAACATTTAGCAAAGGCCGCCTGGTTATTTAACACCAGAGGCTCCACCAGTCGAGCTGGCCCAGCCCACTCAAAACCTCCACGTACTGTAGAAGGGGATACAGTCCCTGTGGTGCATATGAGGAGTATGTTTGGGAAGACAGTTTGGATTACTCCTGCCTCAAGCAAAAGCAGAAGTATCTGAGGGATTGTTTTTGCTCAAGGACCTGGGTGCACTTGGTGGGTAATGCCGAGGAATGGGGAAACGTATGTACCTCAAGGGGATTTGACTTTTAGGTGTGAACAGTCTGTAATTTTGAATTATATATTATTGGTTGCTGAATGACGCTGCCACTGTATGTCATAACTACCATGGACAATGAGTATGGACTGCTCCAGACACACCAGTCATGAGTTCCTGATGCAGATTGGAACTGCCTGACAGCACACCACCCCTCTTGCCCTGGAAGACATCTAGGACGGATAGACCCCACAGTCATGGACAAATGAACTCAACAGACGTCTTGGAGGGACAGCCATTGACTATGGAAATGATACTCATGCTTGTATATATATGTACACGTATGTATATAGTTGGAAGGGGTAGGATTTGGACATGATGTAGATGGTACTGAATAAAGGGTGGATAATGTCCTGGTTCCAGCCAGGCTGGGGTAATTTTTACAGTAGCCAGGAGAGTGCATGGCTAGGACCCAGAAGTTATTCTGTACCACCTCCTATCACTTTCTGGGGGCTGGGAAAGAATTCTCTTCTTGGTCAGTGTAGCGTGGAGAGAGCAGTTGGGTATTCTCTATTATTGGAGGGGTTCTATTTGAATCGTTCACCTCTTGCTTGTACCCTCTGCCATTAGTGTTGTTGCTATTAGTATTTGTTTTCTCATGTCATTGCTGTTTCCACTAAATTGTTCTTGTCTCAACCCATGTTTTTTACCTTTTGTGCTTCCAGTTCTCCTCTTCATCCCACTTCAGGGGGAGGGGGAGAGGGGAAGGGAGCAAGCAAGTGGTTTGGAGAGTCTGAGTGAGAGCACTAAATTGGGAAGTACCATTCCTAAACCATGACACCTTGTCTTAAGGTGGTACTGATATCAAGGTGAAAATGACCAAAAGAATATCCCAGACATATATAGGTGGCCTTAAACTATAATTTGCCTAAAGCCAAGTGTGACTCTGTTATCAGACTAGCATATTAATGCAGCTAGCTCATATTTGTCATTTTAGAGGTGTGCTGACTCTGGAACAATGACCCTCACTTCAGAAGTTTAGTCAGTCCTCATTGCTTTCATGAGATTTCTTCTTCATGGGCTTGCATACGTAGCTATCTCCTGTGCAGCTGTCCTTAGATTGTGCAGGCAGAGCGTGTGGGTTCGAGCTGGTGTAATTAGGCTCTGTTTGAAAATTACACCAAGACTTATCAGTTTGAAGAAAATGAGTTAATGCTGCAAAGGTAGTGAAAGTGTGATTTAATGATTTTTTAAGGTAGGCAAGGCTAGCAGAAGGTTGCAGTCAGAGAAAACAGGACATGGGTACCTTGAGATTCTGTTTCAAAGTTACTACTGCAGTAACTGTTGAAAATTGTTTGCTGTGAGATAAGGTGAATTCTAGCTTCTTATTTTGTCTCTGCTGTTCAGTTAGTGTGTGACTTTCATCATCTGTAAAATGATATCACTGTTAGTCTGTGAAGATTTATACTTCAGAAAAAAAGCAAAGCACAGAAGTAGAGAAACTATTGTTTGTAATTGCTGACAGAAGTGTTGCTGTTCTTTGTAGGTTTTGTTCTTGGGGAAGTTCCTCAGGACACATGGGTGGAATTCTTTTCCTGCTAAGCCTTGCAGGTCACTTCAGTGGGTCCAGAACTGGCTGAAACACATCCAGTAGAGACTAATGAATTACTGTTTGTACTGGACCTGTAGTAGAACTGCTCAGGATTCAAACCTGCCTCTCTGCACTGAAGTGAAACACCTATTCCACTGAATTCTACCTGAAATGTCTCAATAATCTATATAAGCTAAATTGAGTGAAATAGCAGGATATGGTGGGCTGGATCTTGCACAGGAGGTGATCTTGTCTGACCCATCATCATGCTTGAAAACTGGGAGCTGCTGTTGTGTCCTCCATACTGGTGGTAAAGTGAGGTACAAAACTAACACAGCCTCCAGACAGCTGGGTCACTTTGAGCAAGGGCAAAAGGTGAATTTTGCGTTGAGGTAGATGACAACACTGTGGCAGAAGTGAAGCAGAGTCTAACTGCATTATTAGAGTCTTACTTTGATGGGTTTACAAAGTGCTTAATAAATAATTTTCTTCAGTTGGATCAGTTTAGGTGCTTATGTTTGTTGCAAGGGAGCTGTTATTTAGTAATGTTTCTGTTTCCATTTTGGGAACAATTTGTTCAACAGTTCCACTAGAAATAGGCCAACAGAAAAAAGCCTTTGCTGCAGGTTTTCCGTTTTCCCCACAGCCCTTAAAGTGACTTAAAGATTTTACTTTTGAGACAGTGTGGTAAGACACGGTGTGATGTTCCAAGTGTAAATGTTTCATTGGAATCTTTAACAGTCATTTGATATTGCTGTTACTGGCTTGTTTCCTGTTTTTCGTGTGTCTTATACGTGCCACTCCGGTGCTACATTTTGGATGACATCTCAAGGTATAGTTTTTTACAATGTCTATGTATTTAACTGAGTGATCATTGTTGATTTAGAATCCAGCAATTAAAGTAGTTTGTTCCTTCTGTATGGGCTTTCATCAGTTGTTGCATTGCCTTTCCACGTAGTGGTATTGGATCTTCTCAGAGTGTCGTTAACTTACAAATATATCTGAATATATGGATGTGAACCTTATTTTCATAGATGTTGTAAAATCTAGCTGTCAGAAATTGTACATGCAAAAAAAAATTTTCAGCACGTGGTCTCTAACAGATTCTCTGTCCTTAACAAATATCATTTCAGATGAGAAGCAGTAACATAGGTTAGCTGGTTAATTTGGTGAAAGCGCCACACTATTTTAACAGAGCTGGAATTTGAATGTGATTCTTTTCAGTCTTGGTTGCTAACCCCGAGATCTTTTCTCACAAAGAGAAAGATGACTTAAATTACTATTAGCTAGAAGCTGCATTAGACAGTGTAAATGACATGGCTAGTTATTGCAGGATTTCCTTCATGCTACAGTGCAAGAGAAAGACCTCTTCTGGCTGCATGGCTGCCGTGGATCATCTTCAGTCACATGATATGTCGCTGCTCTTGAATTTCAGATGCAAATTGCTGCACCAGGCGTCTTCTCCTGCAGGCATGTCTTTTGATCCTGGTACTCCGACTAAGCCTAGCTACACTCGCAGTGCTAGCCTGCCTGCTGAAAGCCATCTGGTCACCTGTGCAAATCCTACTAAGGTTTCCTGCAAGAAGCAGCTGGAGTGTCTGGCGCAGCTCTATTCATCGTGTATAGCAGGTGAAGACCCAGAAGATGTGAGACTGACCTTTCTTTGAGCTTTGAACTTGCGTGTGTGTTGTGAGAGGGAGGTAGATGAGAAGTGGAAGTTGTGGAACAGTTATATTGTACAAAAAAATAACATCTGGAAAAATAAACTAAGCCAACTCAATTATTAAAATAAATGAATACTAGGTAAAAGTTTAGGGAAGGAGGTGAGCCTGATGCAGTACTCTGAGCTGCAATAGGCCGAAATTATATGATCTGAAACTAGACTATTCCCTAACGCATCTTTCCTGTTTTGATTTACATTGTGGCTGTGTGTGGAGAGGGAGTTCTTTGGTGACTACCAGAGTACAGGAATCTATTTTCTTACCTTTGTGAATTAAAGCAGGACAGTATTGAATAATCCACCTTTAACATCTTGTTTACTCTCTTCCAGAAAACCTGGTACCAAATATTTTTCTGGAGCTGTTCTTTGTTCTGCAACTATTGACGTCTAAAGGCACTTCTACTGCAGAAGATGGGGACAGTGACCTTGAAATCAATGAAAATAGCAGAGGTAAGCAATAGTATCGAGGAGAAAGAATGTTACTTCCATGGAATAATAATGTGTTATATAGCAGCTTGGACAGTTAGTCTTAAATGACATAAAAATGCCTTATTACCACTGTGGGACTCATCCGAGATGCTGACAAAAATCACACATGTGTGGGAAGTGCTTCTGCAGTATGATAGAGAGGGGTTGTTAGGTCCTGTTCGAATCTAGTTTTCTGCTACTATGTGAAATTTGCTGTAGCTGCTTGCTAACACTGACTTTTAAAGAGAAGGACAGATTTGCTAAAGTTGCTTCTGCATTGGTCCCTGCAACTCAAAAGTGCTGTTGATCTACTATGTGTTTCTTTAGCTTAAGATTAGGATATGAGTGCAACAGGATCCAGCCATATAGATGTGTAATTCTTGCATTTGTTTTTTGTCAAATTCAGACTTAAGCTTGATGCAGTTAGTACTTTGAAATGGATATTAAAACCAAAAGAGTGATACACACCACATGCTCTCCCACCCCAGATGCCCCAATTTGACTGACCTTTGTTTTACTTCTCATTCTCAGGGCTGAGAGTGGGAACTTCTGGAAATTGGACAGGAATCTGAAAGACTATTTTTTGATACAGCAGTTCCTACTTTCTTTAAAAGCTTTGTTGGTCTTTTAGTTTATAAATAGTGATAAGTGCTTTTGTCTCATGTTTCTTTTTTTCCCTTAGAAGTGTCAGGGGGACAGCATTTCCAAAGTGTGCACAACTGTGTTTATTTTGCTGTTCGAGTCTTGGACTATCAATATGAGTGAGTTGAATTTTTTTTTCTTCTGCTTTTATGTCTGCAGTTGTGTGTGGGATTAAGCAAGTGTGCTTGGGTTTTAGAGCTTTACCTGTAGGATTTCACGCTGAATATCTGTGGCTTAGAACTCTTTACTTGGCAGCCTCATAAAACATAAGCATAAGCGTTTCTTTAGGTCTGATCATGTGTTGTTTATGTCTGTCTATCTGGGTTTTATCCCTGTTTTCTTGGCAGAATTATTTCCCATTTAGAAAAGGGGATTCTGAAGCTTTTGGCCGAAAATGAACGGATTGCATCTTTTTCTCCCACCTTGCACAAGAGGCTCAGGCAGGCTTATGAAAGCAGCACAGCCAAGGTAAAAATTGGCAGACCTCAGCTGACGTTTCTTCAAGCCTTTATATTGTTCCTCTTTTATTTGCAATGGCTTTGATGTTAAATCTCAGTACTTCTACTTTAAGTATCTTGTCATGTTGTCTCTGGCAACTGTCTAAAAGCTACTTCTTTTTCTTGTCAGTGGGTGAGTGAATTGCTGGGTCCAGTGATTGCTAGCACTGAATCATTGCTGCTATCCTTGCATTGTGCTCTGGGCCCTGACCTCAACCAGAGACTTTGATAGAGTCAAGTTTTGCTTTTGATTCTCATCTAATAAACATGCATCCCAGGAGAATGATTGGTTAGATGCAGAATCAGAAGGTAGTTTTGAAGAAGTGGATTTCTTTCATTGATATGGACTCCTTTTAGGCAAATGAAGTTTCATAGGAGACAACACAAGTTGTGTAAACTGGTTTCTTCATGTAATTATCTGGGTTAGGAAACTAAAGCTGGATGGTAGGAATGCATTTTATATCGTATTTCATGCATCTTTTAAAAATGGAAATTATTCTTTGCAAAGAAAATACCGTGTACTTTCTTAGACTAGGACATTTCAATAATGGAGCTTTAAAGTTCTTAAAGTTGTAAATAAAGGTTTCTTACCTTTATTTAGGTTACTTGAAGACATAGGCTTTTTGAGCTGGAGAAAGAGTAACAGTAGAGGAATTGCCAGCCATTATCCTGCGTTTTCTGAAGCCTAACATTGAAGGGACACTGACAGTGCATCATTCTTTCCACACAGTATCAACACTGGTTGCAACCTGTTCAGCAGAGATTTAGAGAGATGAGATGCTTTCTCTCATAATGTTGAGTGATTCTGCCTCTGTAGTGTAATGTAGGTTGTAAAACTGTTAGTGTTTACTAGTAGTTAGCAATTGGGAAGTACCTAATCTCTGGACAATTTGGCTAGTAATACTTGGTTTCCTCATCATGCCTTTTCCCTGCTCTTTTCTGAGTCTCAGATTGTTTTGGAGACTTACATTAGTCTAATGGCTGCCTTTATATTTTGAACAGGTGTCTCTCCTGTTGCCGTGCTCTGTACAGTCTGTTTCTTTCCAGCCAGAAACTGATAATCGCTCTAACTTTCCCAGTGACAGAGCATTTCACATATTTAAGAAACAAAGGTAAGTTTCTTCTACTATTACTGTATGACTCACAGGGTATAATCTTTGCATGATTGTGAGCAAAGGATATTAAGAATGTCTCATGTATGCTTCGTGCTGTAGAAAAAAAATCTTGAAATTTTCACTTCAGTTAAAAGGGAAAAAAAGTTTTTGTCCATATTGAGTGCAGGATCTAAATGCTTAATGTCTTTAGGGAAAAACAGCCCAATTCTTCAGGAGTTATTGAGACTTCTGTTAATGCCAGTACAGTGTGTCACCCTCCTGGATTGCTTCTGCATATAGATCTGGTATGCTTTTATTCTTCCTGTGCCTCTCTCCATGCTTGCAGCAACAGGGTGAGGGCAGAATGACAAGTTGTCTTGGTCCTTTTTTCTCTCCTCATAGATATTATTTCCTCTGGCTTTTTCTTTCCTGCTTCTCAATCTTCGGTATGTCTGTCTGGCAATGGGTGTTTTGGTCATTCCATCAAAGCTTGGGCATAAGCTCAAGCACTTTTTGTCAAAGACATGGAAAATGGAAACTCACTGAATTCCCACTAATACTAATGAGTTTTGCAAAGGTATCTGAATGCTTAGAGATGTGAGTTATTTAATCTGAGATAGATTCTTGCCGGGGAACTTCGAAGCAATTGAATATTTGGTTGTTGTTGCTACAAATTTTGAAGAGTGGGAATTCATTCCCTTAAATATCTTGATTCTCAGGGACATATTTTATGAACTTCTGCGTGAATGGGAGGATAACCATGAGAAAAGTGGCTGGGACTTTGAAAGAGTTCTGGGCAACAAGATCAGGTAGGAGTCTTTAATGTAGCTGAATTGCTGGTGCAGCATACTAGATTTGGCATCCTAAGTTCCATGATCTCCCTGGTCTTCTGCACTAATCTGTAGGGAGCTGTGCTGCTTGGAAGATACTATCCATGTAAACTTGCTTCTGTATTTAAAAGTATCAGCTGCTATCTTAAAAGAAACAAGCTGTAAGTGGCAAGGGCCTAATTTGATCAGTCTTGATGTAGCTCTTTCCCTATTCATAATCACAGAAAGAGCTACCAGTGTATTGTGGTGTGAATATCGTTATTGTATACACTATATATATATTGTATACAATATATATATTGTGTACACAGTGTTATTGTACACACTTGTGTGTGCATTTCAAGTTTCTGATGTCTGACTCCATTAAAGTGTGGAGACCTGTGTTGTATGTTCAGAAGCTGTTGGCTCTTCTAGTTATTTCAGGGGCTTCTAGTGTGTTGTCTCTGAAAACAAGACAACTGTGTCTCTTTCTGCAGAAAGCAGACTGTTAAATTCATTTATTGCTTTATCAAAATAGATTATACATAAAGAAACTACTATGGTTTTGTTAGCAGTTACCTTGTGGGTTTCTGTGTTAGTTTCAACCATCAACCTACTCAAGTTACATGTATGTAGGTGGCTTTTCACTACAGGAGCAGAACAAGGCTGAGGCCTAAATTGAGAAATTTTCCATCTCCTGGGGCATCAGAAGTAGTGCTATTGCTGTGTTCTTCTGTATGTGTGAACTCTCAGCTCGCTCTTCTGCGCAGGGAAGAGTGGGAGCTGAATGAGTTCATTCTTCTTTCCAAGTAACAGCATTATTTCAGGAAAGGAAGAGATTCTTTTTGTCTCTAGAGTTGTTTGCTCTGCAGGTGCTCAGGGAGAATTTTTGTTTCCATATCAGCAGCAGATGGGGCTCAGTGCTTGGGAAACCTGGTTTTAGAGATGTTGCTTTTTGCAATGGCCTTTGGAGATTGCTTTCTTAAAAGCAGTTATTTTATACTCTTGGTATGGTTTGAAATTAGAACACTATTTTTTGTACCACCGAGTTCCTGTCAGAATTTCATGATCTTTTCCTTCCCAGGGCCATGATGGCTCACCTATCTGCAACCTGCAACCACAGCCATTTTGCCCGGCTCTTTCAGAAACAGCTTATCCAGGTAAATGACTTGGGGGTTTTTTAACGATTGTGTATGTCAAAACTGATTTGATCCTTCCTCAGCCTGAGAAAACAAACTGTGTCTTGCAAGTTTCTTCGAGATTTTCCTATTGAAACCTTTTTTTTGGGAGACACAAGTTTTCAGGATGGGAATTTCTTTCCTTTTTAAGAAATAATCTGTGATAAATTACTGATGAACTCTGTTTAAATCAGAAATAAGGCACACTGAGCACATCAAGATCTGTAAACATTAATTCTTCATGGTTATTTACTTTGTTCTTCTAATTTTAATACAGTTATAGTTTCTGGAAGTTTTAAAGATGTGTTTTGACATATATATTAAATGTAGAGATTTCCAGTTATGTTTGTTAGCAGCATGAGCTTACTGTCTCCAAAGGGTCTCTGTTCTTCTGTATAACACTGCAACAGCCTGTTTTTGATACAGTATTGCTGTTGTAATTTAGAGTGGGGTTTTTTGTGAGTTTCAAGCATCATTTGTCTTCATTGTAACTAAAGAAATGAAAAAAAGAGAAGATACTTCTTATTGGAGTATAGATATTCATTCTATTCTCTGTAAATGCCTGGCTTATTGCTGGGTTCCTTTTGGATAGCAAAACAGACATAAACCCTCACCTTGAGTATTAGCCCACACACATTGCCAGGAAGTTGCAAGCTGTTGGAATGTTGAAAATTCCTCTAGTGTCAAGTCTAAGTTTGTGTCAGTGTCCTGTCTGATTGTATATGTGTGTTCATGGAAATTGTGGGAAAGAGGTGAGATGAACTTTGTTGCATCAATAGGATTTAATTAGGCCTAGGTGCTGTATTTCTATCTGTGCCTTCTTAATAAAGACTTCAGGATTTCACAAGGGTAACCAAAGATCTAAACTGGTAACTAGGCATCTTCAATGAATCCAATGTGTCTGACTAGAAAGTGTGTATTATGATACTCTTGCAGAAATGAATTGTGACTGAGGATTTGTGTTGAGGCCTTATAATTTAAAGGTTGGGAAGCATTACAAGATATTCTTTTGGGGAGGGAAGGATGCTCTGTTTGGAATAAATGTACCTAGTAGTTGCTCACTACTACTACTCACCTAGTAGTGCTCACATACATAGTTAAATGTTGCTTTTTAGTATGATCTCTCTCATTAAAAGTACCATGATTTAGATGCAGGGATGTGCAGTCATCTTTCCCCTTTACTCATCATTGGCTAGGAGTATATACTCCATTATGTCCAGTCCAGACTGTGTCCAGTCCTGGCCTCACTAGCACAAGAAAAGAAAGATACAGACTTACTAGAACAAGTCTAGTGCAGTGCTATGTAAGTGATTAAGGGACCTGGAGAATTTTTTTTATTTGAGGAGAAGCTGAGAGACCTGTGAGTATTCAGCCTGAAGAAGAGAAAGCTCCAGGTTATCTTAACACTGCATTACAAATAGCTGCTGGGAGGGAAAGAAGAAGAGGGAGCCAGATTCTTTTCAGTAGTGTTCACTGACAGGACATGAGGCAATGGACACATATTGAGGAAAAGGAAATTCCATTTGAACACAAGAAGACACTTCTTTGCTGTGAGGGTGGTCAAACACTGAAGCAGGTTGCCCATAGCGGTTGTGAAGTCCCAGTCTGTGGAGACATTCAAAACCCAATGGGACATGGCTCTGGACAATGTGCTGTAGCTGACCCTGATTGAACAAGTGGGTTGGATTAGATGATCCAACATAAACAGTTCTGCAGTTCTGTAATTCTTTGAGTCTTGAGTAGTATCTGTGTGTTTGAGGGAGTGGAGCATTCATTTTTTATTTTTATTTAACTGTGTGGAAGTTCCAGGAAAACCTGATCTGGGAATGCATAGTGCAGCATCATGGGCCTTGGAGACTGGGCTAAAGCTCCTACTGAGTGGTTCATGAAGATCATGCAAGTGATAGATGTTCTCTCCGCACATCCACATGTAGCCTGCTAGGTATGACCTAGTTAGATGTATAGGATCAGAATTCCATCTTGCAAGATCTCTAGATTGCTTATGGCCAAGGTTGGTAGCATGTTTTGGCATGAGGAAGAGTTGTTCTGTATGTGGATACCTGAAAAGATCATGCTTGGATTACTCCAAAAACAGTCTTGTGAGGAAAGGATAATATGTTGGATGAGAGATAAGTGAAATGATGTCTTGTTACAAAATTTCCACCTCCCTACTCTTTCTGTCTCCTAAAGATGTGTAAAGGTCCTATTGGTGGTGGCGCAAGCTGGGGAGACACACCAGACCAGGATGTCCTTAATATGCTGGGTTCTGACAATCTGAGCCGTCTGAAGAGGCTGCAGGAAAGATTTGTTGTTCCTCAGAGCATCAGAGGACCTTGTCCACCCCCTTCATTCCCGGGGTGCCAGCAATTCTTCAGGGACTTCATCCTCAGCGCAGGAAGGTTAGCTGCCTGTGCTTGCTGTTTCCTCTCTGAAATGTGTGGGTGACAGGAGCACCAGCATGTTGCTCTTGCAGCAGAGTTATTCAGAAAGATTGGGACCAGACTATGTGGTAATATATGGTAATAATTTTTCTTCTGTAAAGCCATAATATTTACTCAGAGGCTCTCAGCATTTCCCAGTGCCAAGGCATGCAGTGCTGCCTAGCAAGGACACTGGACTGGACAAGTGCTTCTTGAGTGATAGTGCATGAAGCCAAGGAGTACAGGATGAAGCCAGGTTTATGGTTTTGTTTAATGAGTTTTTCACAATTCACAGCATGGAGGAATTGTGATCTATGGGAGACTTTAATCTTAAGTTCAGTTGTTTCACAGCTTCCTGCTTTGACAGATCAGTTTTATTATCCTTATGCCAAGACATGCTAAACAGCATCTCTTTGAAAAAGTACAAAAGAAGTGGAAATGAAGGGGGTCAGCCAGTACTAGTCTTGTCTTTTGCTTTCTTGCCTGTCAGTCTGTTCCATTGGATGTCTGCTGATGCTCATGAGACAAGCTTGAAATTTTGCAGTGTGTTAGTTGAGGTTTTACTGCTGTTTTCAGCCCAGTCTGACTCATCATCATCTTTTGCTGAAGTTACCAGTTCAATCAGCACCTGATGGATAGTCTGTGCCTGAAGATACTTGAACTGAATGGCCTTACTCTGGTGGAGCATGAGCACAGTGATGGGGAAGCAGATATGGATGAACAGGTAAGCTTGTTTTTTGCAAACACATCTGGCAGGAATTTCTCTGAGCTGTTCCAGTACTCAAACAATTACTGGCTTGCCTGTGAATTGCTTGGACCTGCCACTACTCTATTACAGGAGAAGAGCTTCATTTGGTTTTGTCATAACTCTAGTTACAGAAGTCTGAGCCCCTTGCCACTTACTTGCATGCTTCAGGGTGCTTCATAGAACTGTGTCATAAGAGATAATGCACAATAGTTTGGAAAGTGGAAGCCTCCTTTTTAGGTTATTAGTATCCTGTGTTAGATCAGTGAAATAACCAAGTTGAGTTGTTGCACTCAGTTGCAATAGCTCCTTGTTACTTTCTCACATAGAAGGATTTTAGTTTGAGTTTGTAGTCATCCCTGTTCATACCTGTTCAGATGTTTCTTCACTCAACTATACCTATCAGAGGTGTCACAGCTTATAGTTCATTAGCAGAGTAGCTGCCAAAGGTTCACGAAGACTTGCAAAGTGGTAGTGGTATAAAGAAGGCAATGTGAGATCAGCTCTGCCCTCTCATTGACTCCAAAGTTCTTAATATGAAGATTGAGCAGCTGCTTGTTTTAGAGAGCTCTTGAATAATTTCTTCTTGTGATGAAGTGAAGCAATGGAGACAGAAGCAATTTTAAATGCTTGATAAATATGTATTTTGGAAACTTACATTTATTAAAAGCAGTGATGAAGCTATGTGGTCCTTTTACATGAAGGAAATAGAAGTTTAGTATAGGTATTTGCTTTGCCAGTTTAGGGTAGCATTACCTCAGCTTGCCTTTCTTCGTTTTAGGATGAAAAGAAGCGCTTCACTGTGGTCCTGTTAAGTCTGCGACTCCTCGCCAAGTTCCTGGGGTTTCTTGTTTTCTTGCCATATCGCACTGTGGAGCAGCCAACTAGAGACTTGCAAGATTCTGCATTAGCATTAAGAAACCAAGTAAGAAACCTAACATTGTCCTTCGCTTGACAGGCAGGTTTTCTAATCCAAGGAGGGGATTATGAATTGTCATGCCCTTTCGAAGTGAGCCAGTGGCTCCTGGGATGATGTTATATGGTTCTGTGTCCCTACTGCATGTTCTGGGGTTGAGAACAAAGGAAATGAGTTTGAATAACCTAGAAAAGAGGGAGCAATGCACTGATGGTAAGGTACTCGGTCTTCTGTTATTTCTGCTAATCTGGGTCTGTCATACTAGAACTCTCATCTAGCTGTATTTATAGTGAAAAATCCAGCTAGCAGGAATGATTTTGAAAGTTTGGCACCCATCTCCTACCAATGTGTCATTCTGAATGCAATGACTCCACTTGTACGTAGTCAGGCTTATAGCCTTGCTTTTGAAAGTCCCAGTGGGACCTTTGGTTGCAGTCGTAGTGCGGTTTTTACCTCTGCTCATGTGCAAAGAAGGGTTTTCATTAGCTAGAAGTATAGAAGATGAAATCCTAGAAAGAAAAGTCAAGATACAGATAAAAGTTTTTCTTTAAGTATCAAAAAGTAACTTCAAACTGCTGCTATAACTTCTATTGTCCTTTAAGACCCTGCCTATACTGGATATATTGAAGCTTCTGAGACAATCTGTTCGGGATCAACGTTCTATCCTTACTATTCCTTGGATTGTGGAGTACCTTTCTCTTGTGGATCATATTGCTCCTTTCCTGGATTACTACAGGAAAGTATTTGGTCTCTTGCTGCAGGTATACAGGTAGGAGGCTGGGAAAATATATATATTAAAAACTTTGCTGTGAATATTTGATTATATAGTTGAGGTACTTGATGTTTGAGAATGCATGCTGGCACTAGTTTGAGATTCTTATAAAAAACCCACTTTTTTTTTTTTTTGGTGCAGATCATCAGCACTTCTTATCTTACATGAAACTGCAAAGGGAGCATATCCTAAGCTCAGGGATTAATCTTTGATTCAAATATGTGTTATGTGTTTTTTTCATTAGGTAAATTAAAGTCTTTAAATCCCCACTTGCTCATTCTACATCAGTGGCTGTGAATTTTAAACCTTGAATTTGATCCTTATACCTATAAGATTTCCAATGCCTAAATAATCTTCTAGCTTACTTTCCTATATAAATGAGGAAAATTTGAAGCACATTCTAGAGAATGGCTTTTCCAGTGTAAACTTAAGACAACATGTTGTTCAGGTACATACAAAAAAGTAGAGCTTGCTCTCCAGTCTTTTGGCCGACACACAAGTAATAGTGTAATTAGAAAGTGAACGATTTGGGAATTTTTTCCTTAATGAAAATGGAGGTGCTGAAAACTCACACTTTCTCTTGCTGCTTCTGCTGCATGGCAGGTTAATGGTCCTTTCTGAAGACAAGAAGATGAGTTTCCTGAACAAGCTGCTGATCCTTGCAGTTCTGGGTTGGCTCTTTCAGGTAGTCTCCTGTGTGCACGCAGCTCTTCCCTGAAGAAAAAGCAAAAAACCACCAAGAAATATAGTATTGAAATAATTAAACCAATGCAAAATAGTAGTTTGTTGTTTTGTTGTGGGGTTTTATGGGGTTTAAAGAATAATTGTATCCTAATGGAGAATTATTTTCCATTAGTGAAATTGTGTGAAGCAACTTTTTTTTTTCCAAAAGGAGTTCTAATTGCATCTGAAACACATTCTGTACTTATTAATCTGCATCCTTGTAAGCAAATTGACAGCTGCTTCCTGTTAGAACTGGAAGTTCTTGTCACAAAGATGGAGTGCTAGCTGTCAGCTAGCTGTCAGCTTTGAATTATTAGGGAATTTTTTGTCTGATAAAGGGATCATGTGTGATGAACTTCTAAAATTCTTCTGTGCCTCCAGTTGGAAGCAAGGTAACTACCTAGCAGGAATGTATTGGAAATGTGAAACGTGGTATTAAGGGGAGGGTAAGGAAGGTGGCTTTTGTTATTGTGATCAAACCAAATATTTAATTTTATGGAAAGGTGCTTAGGGCAGAGTGGATCTTTAGTACTAGTTGGGGGTTTTTTGTTGGTGGCAGGGTGGTGAGATTTCACTGTCCTCTTATCAGAAACAGTGTAAGTTACTGACTGTTGTTTGGGTTGTAACTGCTGGATTTTCTGTTTCAGGTTCCATCAGTCCCTGAAGAGTTGTTTTTTACCACTGACAACAGGCAGGAGAGATTTATGATGGATACTGTGACATCTGCTCAGGCTTTGGTGAGTTAGTGCAGTACCATGTCCTCTGAATCCGTGGATGAAGATGGACCTACCTGATCCTCAGGAATTTTAAGATCTTATCAGGAACTTGGCTTCAGGGCAGCTGCATTGAGAATATGTAGGACAATGGATGTGATGCCACAGTTTGTCCAAGTGTCTCAATTGCATTTCATCCTGGGTTGTGAACTCTGTGTTACAGCTCTAGGTTTTTTGTCAGGCAGGAGCCATCTCACCTGCTGCAATAGTTTGCAGAACAGGTGCCAAGTTGTGCTGGAGGATCAGATGCTGTTTTCCTACTCACTGATTATTGCAGTACAAGGTGAGCTGATAGAACTGCAGCTCTTCCCAGAAATAAGTAATAGAAATTGTAAACAGAAGTAGTAAGATGGGACTGTATGAGCAAGGTTGCTGTCTTTGGGGTCACCTGTTTTCCAGTTACATGATAAAGGGTAGATGAACTGAAAATAGTATGAGCAAGCAGAAAAGCAAGTGAGTTTATAGGTGTGATGTTTCAGATAACTCCCAGACATGCAAAGGGGTACATAGTATTCCTTGAAAAGGGAGGAGTATATTTGCTAAGATACACTGCCTTTATGGGTGGGATCTGAAGTTCCTTTTCCTCCCAGGGCCCTGCCTGTGCTGTGTAATACTGGGCTGACATGACTCCACAGTGTGGTGTTCCAGTGAGTCCGGGGGAAGGCATTTGTGCAGAGTAATGCATAGCAGATGGGCCTCATATATTCTTCTCCATGGATAGGTTTCTCCCTTATGAGTAGCAGCTGTGGCAACAGTCCTGGTTCCCTTCTTTAAACAGCTTTCAGCTCTGCTTCCACAGTGATCAGGAGTAAAGGCTGAGCTACACTAATAAAATGTAGAGCAGGTCATTCTGTGTTACAGGGTTTGACTGAACACTTGGGCTGCAGACTTCATCATTTTACTATGTATTTGGAATCCAGTTATTGTTTTCATGGAAAGACAGCCCTGAAACCTCCCTGTGACCATATGTATGGGATTTCTGACTTGAAGACTGTTTCTTTCCTGCAGTATCCTTTCAGCATTTCCTTCTTTTTCTCACCAGGACTCTGTACCCTTGGTGGATCAGCAGTTACTTTATACCTGCTGTCCCTATCTTGGTGAGTATTTTTTTTATTTTTGCTATATAAATAAAATATATTAGTACTTTTTAAAAATTTATTTAGTTGTTTGTATTTGTCCTTTGGTACTGTAAGTCCTTGGATCATCTTTCTTACCCCTCCTCATAACTTCAGGTCTCAGTTTTGTATGAGTCAACCTTGATAAAAAACTCTATTGTAGAAGCTCATGGAGCTGTAAATACTATCTGGTGAAGCTGGGGGAGGGAGGCTACGTAGTCAGGATAAGTGATGTACAGGGCTTGAATACAGAGGAACAAGGGAAGCCATCCTTAAAAAGCTGGAAAAGAAACATTATAAGGAGTAAGTAAGTATACAGCTTTTCCATCCTAGGTATAGGGAGAGGTGTTTGTACTGCAAGGAATGTTTTGGTCCTTGAGCATATTTCTGCTTCCAGGCAGAGGGGAAGAATCCTTTTGTGCCCTTGTGTTTTGTCAGGTTGTTGTTTGAGAGAGTTTTTTCCTGGGATTGTCTGCCATTGGTAAAATTCCTCTCTGTAGATAATAGAGCACCATATGGTGATATGGTGCTCTGTTTCTTGGGACTTAGTAGGAAAACTGTGTTAAACCTGCATCACAAAATCTTCTAGGAGTTGAACGTGTCATCAAGCTTTTCCTCTGGTATTTTCTCCTGCCCCTTATGGAATTTTGTGTAACTCTGCTTGCCTTGTTGTCCTTGTAGACTTTACAGTTCTTATTTGCCAAATTAAAAAGCAATATATAAAAATGACTGCTCCCTGGTCCTTCTGAACAAGTTCAGTGTGCTATGGACCCTTTTTTGGAAGCTGCCTCTTTTCTGTTTAGAGCCTTGCCTGCCTTGCTATGCCGTGCCAGTTAAATGTGTGGGATACTCCTCTGCTTTTCTAAAACTTCCGCTTTCATAGAAGTAGAGAGAATCTGCTCTAGGAACAGAACTGGCAAAGTGAAACTCGCTCTCTTGAGTTTTAATTTTTTTTTCCCTTTGCTTTTGGCAATGATGACTGGTTTTGCATGTTTTCCTGTACAGGTGAGCTGCGTAAACTACTTGCCTCTTTTGTGGCTGGTAGTGGAGCAAAAAATGGTGGCTTTATAAGAAAAATCACTCCCACAGCTGCAGAGTCTTTAGCACCCAAGGCTTCTGTCACACAGCGGAAACTGCAGGTAATAAAATTAGGGAGTCAGAAGGGGAAACAGGGCAGGAGAAATTGCTTGTACACAGTATTATCCTAATGCCAGGGAAAGAAGAGAATGGGCCTGGGCCGCAGAGAACATTGTGCTTAACAGTCAGGTATCCTCTCTCCCTGTTTTTCTGTTACAGTTGTGTGGCTGGGATACCATGTGGGTGTTGAAATCCAGATAACTTCAGTAAACATTCTTGCAATTGGAACAACTAGTCTGTTTATCTCTCTCCCTCTTCTTTAATATAAATTGTTGGTATGTTTCTCATACGTTGTTTTGGTTAGATTGTAGCCATGCTTTCCGCTTAAAGAACAACCTGTGTAGGAGCCTACAGGATTACCAACCTGTATTTAGAAGACAGGATCCTTTCTTTCCAAAACAAGCCCTATGTGGTGACTCATTATTAGTAAGTGCTGTCAGAACTCTCCCATTCTTCCCTTTCCAGAGCATGTGCTTTTGTAGTTTCAGAAACCCTGATAACGAACTTGGATTAAATGGCTAAAAGGGAATAGGGAGTAACTAATTTACAGGGATGATGAACGCTGCAGTAGCAGAAAGTTCTAGTGTAGGCGAATTGCGTACCTTTTAGTACATTTCCAGATGGTAGCTCTGTCCATTCATCTGTGTTGATGAGAGAAGGGTCTGGGTGGAGTGCTCTAATCAACTGTAGCACTTTCTCTTGAACAGGTGGAGTTGGAACAGGCCTTCTTCCACAACCAGCCTTCTTCCCTACGGAGAACAGTTGAATTTGTGGCAGAGAGGGTGGGATCCAACTGTGTTAAGCACATTAAGTAAGTGCTGGTAATCTGTTCTGTGACTTAAGAAGTGACTTTAGATTATAATGAGACAAAGAGTTGATCCTTTGAACTTGTGTGTATGGGGGAAAGAAAGCTTCCCTCAGAGTACGCTGCATAGCAGACCACCAAGGCTACATGAAACTATGACCAGAAATGTCTTATTGCCATCACAGAGAGGAATTTTTGAAGAGATGCAGAGAGGAAGTGTGTAAGGAGGTATAACACTTGGTTGTGAACATAATGCAGCATTTTGAGACTTTATATCCCTTTCAGAACATTCTTGCTAATGATAGAAAAATCTCATATCAGAAGTGACCTCTGGAGGTCATTGCAACCAAGCTCCTGCTCAAAGAAGGGCCAGCTTTCAGATTAGATCAGGTTTATTGACACCTTTTCCAACTGGAAAAGTTTCCGCCTTTTAAGGATGGGGATTCAGCCAACCTCTTAGTACCATCCAGTGCTTAACTTTCCCAGGATTTGTGAAAAATGTTTCCTTATATCCTATTAGAATATCCCTTGTTCCAGCTTGTGCATATGGCCAGTCAACCTTTAGCTGTGCTCTTCCTGGAAGAGTCTTATTCTGTCTTCTCTGTAACCTTTTCTTCTCCCTTCACCTTTTTCTTTTCTCCGGGCTAAGTGGAACTGACTACCCCAGTCTCCTTGGGGGCCACATGCTCCAACATCCCAATTATCTTAATGGTTTTTTTCTTTTCTCTGGCAGTTTCTCAAATTGTCCATGGCTTTCTTGTCCCGGGGTCCCAAAGCTGGACACACTACTCCAGATGCAGCCTCATGGCAGTGAGGGAAGCAGTAACTTCCCTTGACTTGCTGGCTGCACTGTTGCGATTGTCAGCCCAGTATAATGTTGGCCTTCTTTGGATGCTGCCAACTCACTTTGTCTAATGGGAACCCCAGATCCTTTCTGCAGAGCTGCTCCGTAGCTAGGAGACCCCAGCCTGTACAGTGCACAGTCGCCACCTCATTGTCTGCCCATTTCTCCACCTTTTCACAGTCCTTCTGTGTGGCAGCCCTGCCCTCCAGCATGTCACTCATGAGCCTGCTCGGGGTTTTGCACTGTTCTATTGTCCAGCTTGCTGAAGACATTAAATGATATCAGCCCATAAGGAATGCTGGTTGTACTGGGCTGCTGTTGACATCTTTGAACTTCTGAGCACTATCCATTGAACGTACAAGGGCATTGCTACCAGAAAGTATACCTGTAACCAAATATGTTGCTACTAAAATCTTAAGGCTTTTGACTCGAGTCTTAGTACTATTTTGATATCTTCATTGCCACTTTCTTCCTTGCGTACAGAGCAAGGAGATGGTACAGTACTAAATACAGCAATTGATTCTTTTTTAGCAGAGTTGTTTATTGCACTTGAGATGAGTATCCCCTTAAACTGAGCAGAACAGCTGGATACACTTAGTGTGCGCTTTTTCTTGTACTGATTTCAGTCTGTCTGATTGTTCTTGGTTTTTTTACAGGGCAACACTGGTAGCAGAGTTGGTTCAAAGGGCTGAAGCCATGTTGCAAGATAAAGTGAAGGAGGATGCTGCTAGTCATGACAAACTTCTTGAAGAGGTGTGCACTCATCTTTGTGAGGAAGGGGCCGAGGCACTCATCAAAGGCAGAGAGTAAGGAGGAAAACTTATTTAAACTTCTGCCTTCCCATCTCTTCTTACTGAAGAATCCATAAGCCTAATTTAGCTTGGCCTGTCATGCTCAGGTTCTGGTAATTATAAACTATGACCTCTGCTCTTCTTAGAGTGACTGTCTGCTGTGCCTCCAACCAGTTAATACTGTATCTGTGGGAAGGAAAAGGTGCTGTGTGTTCCTCTGCATCCAGCTCCACACAGACATCCACTGCAGCTATTGCATTTCCCCTGTTTGGAAAACCGATATTGCAGTTTGGTGGCTTGTAATTACCCTTTCCTTGTCTGGTTCTTTTGGTCTGATTTATTGCATTGCCATGTAATGAACCTCTGAGTGTTGTCCAAGAATTTTGACTAATCCTGTGCCATGCTTTCTTTTTTTTGTAGATTTTGCAAAAAGAAAGGTCCTGAGGCAGTAAGGGTGTTGTTGCCAGAAGAGACATCTGCAGCAGTATGTATATTCATTAAAATTTATTAAAGGCCCTGACTTTAAGTCTGGATTATTACCATTTTTCCATTGCTGTTTATCTTATCCCTTAATAACTCAGCTCAAGGGAACCTATTAATGCCCTCATGGGAGGACTGATAGCTAAGGAGAGTCACTTCTACCAGGCTGCCTTGCATATTCTGGGTAAAGTGATACTCTAGCTCATAGGTAACTGTTGAGACTAGAATGTTATATAAATTGCATTCATCTTGCAAGGATAATGCTTTTGTTTTAGCATCAACTTCTACAAGAGTTGAGGTTTGGAAAATCAAAATGGGTCAGTCATATTGCTCAAACTAGCAGTTCCCACAGATGTGGTGGTGCTCTGTTTATTTGTTGCATGCCAAAATTAAGCTTTTTTTCCTTTAGACTTCATTCTGACTCTTCACTGACCGTAGTGCTGTGGCTAGTAGTAAATCTCCTATCACTTGTCCTCCCTGTAAAGGTTTTAAGTAGTGCAGAAAACATTGCTGTGGAACTGGCTACTGAAAAAGCCTGTGGCTGGCTCTCTGCCAACATTGCAGGTGAGTCCTTTTACTTTGAACTGGGGCTTCTAACCTGTGCATTGTACTTTTTTTTTTTTTCCTGAGATCAAGGAACAGTTACTGTTGTAAAGTACTTGGTCATATTAATTTTTCTTTTAGTGGGAAGTGTGCAGTTACCCTGGCCCTCCTTGTTTAGGAATAAGAAGAATGATTTGTAACTCTAAGAATCTTATTTAGGGGTCTTTCAGTCTTGGCCCATGGAAGTGATTTTTAGTTACAGAGTCTCATAGGATGGAGAGAGGGAATTCTAAGGAAAGCTCCTTCTGGAAATGTCATCTATTTTGAAGTTGTCTTAGCACTTCCAATGTATGCTAGACAACTGCTCTCTCAAGCCACCTTATGGTTTACATGTATAGAGAGCTGAAATCTTCTGTAAAACAAACACTTCTTGGACTGAGTGTCTTTTCTGCAGGCTGAAGGTAAGTGTGGTGCTTTTACTCTGTAATACTGCTCTGGCAACTCTTCAGAATCTCTGAAAACCGATTTTTTTCAAGAGGTTATGCAAGAGTCTGGTGAGGAATATTCAAGCACCGTTTGCAACCACAGGAGTTTAGTGTTTTGGATGTTGATCAAAACTTATTTTGGTAGAAGACGTACGGCTTTCATGGGCACAGTGGCTGAACTGGTATGGTCACGCTGAATCAGCTTTCTACTTTGGCATTGCCTCCTGGCTTAGCTACTGTGTTTTTTAAACAGACTGAAATATTTTGATGGAAAATGAGATGAGTTACCAGTGGTACCTGGCAGTAATGTGTGGCTGCCTTCTAAAGCTGTGGGTTAATGCACCCTCTGCACATGTGCCTCTGCCCATTAAGTATAGTGGGAGGTCAGAGTGAGAGGGGTTTGAAAGTGTAAACTGTCTTTTTTCCTTATTCGCCATGGCCCTCGCCGTGAGAGGTTAATAGTGTTTGGAAACAATTCTGTGTTTCATTGGAGAGAAAAACTGAAGTAGACAGGACTTGTTCCCTGTTCTCTGTAGCACTCATCAAAAGAGAAGTGAAGGCAACCTTCAACAGAATGCTTAAAGTCCCAGGATTTCCCTTGCCCAGTGAGGATACTCTGGAGTTGAGAAGGGACTGCCCTCCAGGCTGTCAGCACTGTGCTCCATTTCCCTCTCAAGTCATCAATGAGATTAAGGTATGTAGCGTTCACTTCCTGGCTCACCCTAACTCCCTTTCTGTTTTTCACATTCGTGGTTTTTTGGTTCATTGCTTATGGAATTTTTATGGTTTGTTTTTGTTGTTGTTTTGTGGGGTTTTGTTCGAGTTTTTTTAAGAGAATGTTTTGGTTCTAAGGAACTGACTGTGGGGAGTGTTTAGGAAGCACAATGGAAAGTTCTCAGGTATTTTTTAACCACCTGCTTGCTGTCTGATCAGAGTTCCCTGTTAGGAGTACTATCTTAAATACAGGATTTCTGGTAGCATTGGCAGTGTGACCTTCTTGATATGTTTAGCATGGAAACTGCAGTATGGTGAGTGTTGTGTACAGTTGTATGCTGAAGAGTCAGCATATCAAAATAGTTACTTTTTTGTGGACCTACTCTTTTTATGGATAGTCTCCTGGACCCTGCTTAGAGTAAGTATTTCCTGTTGGTCCTTTCAAGTCTGTAGAACTTGGTAGACTATCCCATATTATACACCAGGAATTCTTTATTGAATTAAGTGTCTGATGAATCTGTACAGATCTATTGAAAGGTTTTTGCCAGTCTGCAAATTCATTAGTCTGTACCTTCATTCAGTTATAATGAGGGGGAATCAGAATATCTTTGAAAGAGGGTGATGATGTGGACTTAATTTTAGCCTTAGATCCAAGCAGTTTTATATTCAAGCTGGTTTAAATTACATTTTGGTTATTTTTCCCAGTCTTTTAACGAGTCACTGTTCTTGTTAAAATCTTACAGTCATATAACCTATGTAAACTATGAGGAAAGGAAGAATTCTGAACACTTCACTTTTTTACCTTTACATGTTCTGCCTCTTTTTTTTTTTTTTTTTTTTTTTTTTTTTTTTCAGCAGTTTGTCTTTTTGAGCAGTAATGTTGGATATCACTGTCTTTGCTTTCCCAGCAATTGAGTGGGAACAAGTTCACATCCTTTAAAGCTTTCTTGCTTGTGCTAAAATAAAAACAGAAGGATAAGTTGTGTTGACACTGAAGCTTCCCTGAGAATATAAGAGGGCTCTGGATTTCCCAACACTTCTACCCTGAACTTGCTTGCTGCACTGTCAGATTTATCTAGAGCTTTCAGAGCTAGTATTTTTAAGGAAGATGAACTCGTTGCCATCGCTGAATTTGACTTCATAACTAGTGAGAGCTGTCATAGAAAATCATACCTTGGTAAGGTTGTGAAAAATTCAGCTTTAATCTGTCTTTTTTAAATGTATGTACTAGCTTTATTTTAATGAAAATCCAAGGGCTACTTATGAAGTGCTCTGTCATAGGTCCAAAGATTTGTCTGTGGAAGAGAAGGATACTAATATGTGAGTTACTGCTCTCTTTTTCATCAAGGATGTGCTCTGTGTTGCTGTGGGCCCACGGGATGAGGGTGAAGTGATTGACTATGTCTGGTTGGAGTGCTTGCTAGGAAGATTGAGTCAGACACTTCAATGCAGAAAGGTAAAAAATGTAAAAAAGCAACAAAAAAATTCTTTGAGACTTTGAGCTGTCTCAATACCTGTAAACTTGTTTGCCTTGCCTCACAGCTGAGCTCAGTTGAGTGTTTTTTGTTTGAGTTCAAATGTGGCAATGTTGCACTGCATTTTTTTATACTATGTAGATCTGCTTGTTACTTCAATTTTCCTTTGTGGATCCCCTTTTCATATATGATCTTTTCTTGTTTTTCAGTCTTTAATGGTCTCCTGATTACAGCTCTGTGCTCCTTGCTGTAAATTGCCTGTTCTGCTTAGTTATTTTTATCCCTTGTGAAGCCTGTTTTATCCAGTTTGTAGTATGGGGAGAAAGATACAATTTTTTTTTGTATTTTCCAGTTCATGTGTCCCACATCAGAACAGCAGCTGGCAAAGTGCTCTGTTGAGTTGGCTTCTTTGCTGGGTAAGTCAGTCATGATAAGCTATTTAAGACTGAAATCTGTTATTAAAATTCCCTTAAATCCTTGAGATCAGAGACTGAAGTATTTAGAGCTCGTGGATGTTTGATTCACTTTGGTGTCATTGAGTCTGCAGATTTTTTTCTGTTGATTTGGGCAGTTGCTTTTATTCCCTTCTACGTTCTGCGGAATGTACATTCAGCATTGTACAGTGACTAACCATCCTTCAGACCTTGTTCACATCTCCATTGTTTTTTATTTATTGATACATTCTTTTGAATATGGGATATGTTTTCCAGTATTTCTGCTTCTGAAAAATTGTGGGTGACGTCGTTTTTTTTTTCATAAAGTAAGGGCCTTTTCCATTAAATTATGTTTTTATGGCTTTTTTTCTTTTTTTTTAAAGAATGGAAATAACTTGTTTCCTGTGTATTGTGACTTCTGTGAGCATTTTCAGTTTGGTTTTTTTTCTCTTGCTCTAATGGGTAAATATAATGTTTTTCTCAGCAGTAGCTTGTGATCTGAATGTAGGTATTTTTTAATGGGCAACCTTCTCATTTCCTGGATTTAGAACCTGCTTAAGAAGTTTTATACATAATTCATTTTTTCAGAAGGCAGTTCACATCTAATGTTGTGAAATTTATTCTGGAGGGCAGCAGTCTAAATCTGCCCCATTCCATTGGACCGAGGAAGATCTCATATCTTGCATCTGTCTATGTTTAGCTGCAGTTAAACACTGTTCAGCTTTAATTTCTCTTGTATGAAGTTATGTAACTCTGCCTATAGTCTAAACTGTGGACAATTCAATCTGTTTATAGATTTAAATGTTGTTTTACTGTATTACTCTTCTCTCCTTGGGAGTAACACCTAGGTTCTCTTCAATTAAATATGAGACTGACCTTTATATAGTCAGTTGTCTTTCAAGACTTGAGGCTATATGCCAACCAGATGGGGGCTATATGCCAACCAAATGGTATTCTTTGACTGAGGAGTATAAATCTCTTCCTATGTAATACTTGTCTGTATAGTTTCAAAGCTCATAATTTTGCATATTTCTAAACTCCAGTCCTCTTAGATTCACTGGTTTGTACTCACTAAGTGTGCTGTTGTACCAAGATGATGACTATAAAAGGAAACAATGCAGCTGTAGTAGTTCATTTTTCATCCTTTTCTCGCAGTTTCAGATCGTGTTCCTCTGAGTCTTGAAATCAAATCCCCAAAGAAGAGCCCCGAGAGGCTGCGTGTAAAGAATGATCCCACCTATGGCCTTCTAAAACTGCTGCTCTCTGTCTGGAAGGAGGACTTTGGGACACCTGTTCCTGTGCAGCTGATCTTCAGCAAGAAGAACGTTAGTTACCTTGCAGAAGTTAAGCTGCGAGAGGTAAAGCTTGTTCCGATCTGTGGAGCTGCCAGTTGTCCGCTCTGGTCAGATACTCTGTGTGAGTTCTGCCTGCCCACAGTGTTCACTGATGGCTTGTGTGAACGAGGCCAGTGGGGCTTGTTCTGCTCTTACCTGGTGCTGTTTCTGCAGGGGTAGTGAAGAGAGGACCACGTGCTACTTGTCAGGGTTTGATACCTGTCTGGGGGGCTCTCGGGAAGGTACAGTTTCATTTAGGAACAAATGGCAAAATGCTCCATTTGACCTGGAATGTGGTGAGGGCTGGGCACACATGACTCTGTAATTGGTTGCATTCTTATGTTTTGTATCAGCTTTTCATTTTTGCATGCATATTGGTGCTATAAGCACCCCAGCTATGAAGCTGAAAATCACCCTATTTAGTTGCAAACTAAAACCAGCTTATTTCAGAATGAGGAAATAATTTTTCAAGCTGTTCTTGAACAGGCAGGAATTAAATACTTGGTGTGTTGGTAAACTGAGAGTTGGAAATTATGAGACTCTGTGGTAGGACACAATGTATGAAGTAGAAGAATTTTGTTCACTCAGTTTGGATGTTGCTCTTGTCCTCATTGTCACACCCAGATAAATAATGTGTTTGCTTCTTTTTGCCATGTTCTGATCCCAAAGTAAAATGTGAATTGTGTATGGATAAAGAAACAAACACAAAATCCATTTCTTTTTGAGTTTTTGATATTTTTTTTTCTCCTCTGCAGTGGGATTTGTTCCTTTTCTTGCTTCATGGTCTTGTAGAACATGAACTAATGAGAACTAGTGAAATAGAGAATTGCCTGCATAGCCTTGAAGAGCTCCCTTGGCCCTCAGTAAGTAATTAGATGTGTGTGAAAAATAAGTGAAATAAAAGTAAAGCTATATAAACAGCCAATTCTTGTATTTCTGTTTCATATAGGTAAGGCCTCTAACCTTCCTGTCTGTCATTCCTGCTTAATGCAGCCCAAGGCCTGGCTTCTAGCAAGCTTATTACTGTTGCTATTGTTTGGCTGAAAGCTGTACTTGTGTGAATCCAACATTGCCCATGCAGCGAAAATGTTTCCAAGAAAACTGTAAACCAGTTTTGAAACCAGCCGGCCCAGTTTCCAGCTCTCAGTTCTAGCCTGAATGTGCTTGCTGTGTTCCAGTTGAGAATGACATGTTGGGAAGGGTTTTAACAGACCCAAAGTGCACTTTAAAACCCTGTGACTCTTACCACTGGAGTGTGAGAGGAGTCAGACTGTTCTAGAGGAGTCACACTATTCTGGCCACAGTCAAAATGTAGGGAACCACCCGAATGCCTTGCTAAAAATGGCAGTATTTCATGGCTGGTGAGCACTTGCATGTTGGAGATGTTGAACCATTTAAACTGTGGCAGTGATCTTTTCTGAGAAGGGTGTGGGTGTTAGGTGGGAGACTGAACATGCAGACCTACAGGCATTCATCTTTGCAGTCAGTTCTGTAGCTCATCTAGGGTCATCACTGGAAAACCATCAATGTGTTAAACCTTCTAAAGTTCTTTACTAGAAAAATTAAGTAAGCCTCCTTGTTGACTTTTGTTAGTAAGGGTTCTCTGGTTTGTGTCTGTTTGTTACAGGATTTCTTAAAAGACCTGAAAATGCTGTCCAGAGTATTTGTATCAGAACATCATACAAAGGAGCTCAGGACTAACCCTTGTGAGCTGACCAGACGATCTCTAGGTACTGTGACCGCACAAAGTTAGCAGAGGTGGACTCTGTGGGCAGAAATTACTAATGAAGACGCAAATGGGATTTTTAGCATTTCTGAATGGATTGGGAGCTCTCTGTTGGGAGCATACTGCAGATAAGGGGTCACTTTGTGCAAAACCTGCACTGTTCGTGGACATTTGCTGTGGTGACTATGCTGAAGGATTTACATCAGCAAATGGATCTCCAAGTCAAAAGTCCTTTAAGCACCTTGATTATGGCTCAGAGCAGCTGTTCTTTAAACTTACAGGCACTTTTTTTATTTGTGCAGCAACAGGCTGTGACCAAACCCAGGAATCAATTCAAGTGGACAAGTGTCTTTGTGATCAGAGAGACGGTTCCTTGGTGTCTGTCTCTTCTCTTAACTCAATGTGATTTCTCATGCTGTCTTGTAAGAAAGCCTCTACTGTCAGGGGAAGGACAACATGAACCTATATGATACAGAGATGTGCCTATATTTATTTTTCATTGTAAGCTCAATGTTGAAGGTTTGATTTTAATTTTTTAAGACTCATTTTAAAAGTTAAATCATATTAAATACACCAGACCATCAATGGCATTATTCTTAAAGGATGTAGATGCTAAAGTGGTTTTCCATCTCTTGTTGGAAACAGAACTTGTAATTTCCCAGGGGTTTTAATAGAAATAAGGGAGAAAATATCTGTTTATATTTTTTACTGAAGACAGTATTTTTAAGACACTTTTATAGTATGTGAACATAAATGGCATCTGGCTGCTATCCACTGGTTTTTGTAATTCTTCTTGCCTTGAGTTTGGGTTTTTTCAGTCAGGAGGTGCTGCAGCAAGAAAACTACAGCCTGGAAGAGCAGACAAAGTAGTGAAAAAGCACTGTGATGCTTGCTGGAGAGCAGATTTTGAAAGGAGTCCTTTTCTTGGAGGACAGTGGTATTTTTCTGCCCCTAAAGGCAGATTGTCACCAAGGATATGATCTCCCCAAGTATTTCCTTAAACTGGGGTTTGTGGCAGGGACTGCTGCTGACTAGCTCATTAACTGTCTCATGGGATCTCCTGCCCACTGCCCGGTAGCAGTGAGGACATTACTTCCTTTTGTCTAGGAGTGTCCTATTAGTGTAGGTTTTTTCAGAAAGCAAGTTCTGTGTTAAAGAACAACATCCAGACAAAGTAAAGACCAGGATTTTTTAGCTTGCTAATTAACTAACCTCTTCCTTGTATAAGGTGAGAAAAGGGAACATCTTGGAGTCCGTGATTTAAGAAAAGCCACAGACAGGATTCATTAGGCAGAAGTGTAGCTTCTGTTAAAATATATGTTATGCAGAGAGAGAAACCGTAGAGGCACATCAATGTCTGAACTGTACTGAGACTTGTCTTGTTTACTAAGCCCTGTATTGAAAGATTTGGCATGTTCCATCTGCATTGCTCATTTTAGGGGTTTTCTGATGTGAATGAAGGAGAGTCCCTAAAAGTAGGCCATGCTGCATATACAGCAAGACATGGGAATACAAATTGAAGCAGCAAGTACACCATATCATGCCATACCTGCATCCTGAGGCTATTATGTTTTGTTTTGCTGCAGATCTCATTTGAAATTGCTGTTTGTCATAATAAACATTATTAAATGTCGTCTCATGTTCAAGCTGTCAGTATATAACCTCTTCGTACTACGGTGAAGAACAAAACAGGTACCTTGCCACAAAGAATGGGGCATAGAAAGTACAGTAACACCTGCTATCCAGCCTGCTGCTGCTTTGCTTCTACTGAAATAGAACTTTGTTATAAAAGGGGGGGAGGCGGGGCAGTGGGACAAAAAAAAAAAAAGGAGCTCTTGGCTCTGGCATGGATTTTATTTGGGTATTGTAAAACTGTTTGTGTAGATACCATTGCTACAGCCATTTTCATGAACTCAACATACCTACATTATCCTTCTCTAATACAACATTTGGAAGATTTATTTGAAAGGTGGCCAAGCCTCGGAAGCAGTTTACAACATCCGAAGAACACAGTTGTGCCCTATGGGCCAGGAGACAGTCAGTTGTCCAGTGGGACCCAGGTAAGAAACAACTCTGTTTCTGCGTTCTTATGACTTAATGCAGTTACTGCAGTTCTACTGGGAACCCCATGGTACCCAGCCACGTTTGCTCTGTAAATCCAGACACCTGACTTTGTAACCAAACCTTAGGAGCAATTGTATAGCACTTGATTTTCTGCCTGTGGACACTCGGCAGTGGGACTGTGCTCATGAGGATGCACAACTCTGCAGTCCCACTGGGCTGGTGGACTCCTCTCAGTGCCAGTGCCTCAGGCGTTGCACCTCTTCCCTATGCTCTGCTCTAACTGTAGTGCCAGTGGTGCTGCAAGCAGGAGAGCAGTAGGGAGAAGAGAGCTCACAGAAAGCTAGATCTGAGTCTGTGGCCTTTCTTCTGCCAGTCTTCCCTGAAAACTCACAATTCTCAAAAGAAAATTAGGAAAAACAGTGTTATATTAACTTTCTTCTGAATGTGCAGGTGAGGGAAGTTGTGTAACAGGACTCAGGAAGAAGCTCCAGCCAATGTCATTTTTTTAAATACAAAAATAAAACCAAACCAACCCTTTGCTGGGACAAGACATATGTCACAGAACCCAAATTTAGGCAGTGACTGCCTTATTAACTCTTGTGCCACGAGTTCATATTTGATGTGCATTCCTTAGCAGTCAAGTGGGAGACACGTAGCTGTTATCACAAGCTTGCCCTTGTGTTATCCATCTATGGAACTATATTGGATGGAAAAATAGCTGGAGCAAAATAAGGTGGGGCACGTTTTCTTGTGTAGAAAATACCATTTATTGTGGATATGAAAATAGCAACCTTGATTTAAGAGCAGAGATGCAACCCTAGGTGGTTTAATACAATTGGTTTGATCATCTGCTGCTCAGCAGGAACTTACAGGAAGTTGGGTTTTGCCTGTTGTAGATTAACAAATCCAATATCTGCTGGGTTTTTGTTTCTTCCTTCCAAACAAACCAATGCCATACATTAGCAAGTACCATAAAATATTGTATTTGCAAAAGAAAACATTTATATAAATAGGCTTTTTAGTATTAATTGAAGACTGTATTAAAAAAAAATTACATTAATTCAATACCAATAAAAATAAAACTTAGCTTTGATAGCATATAAAAACGGCTCAAACCAAGCATATATAAATAACTTAATTTGTAAACGTAGGAAAAAAGTATATATAAAAATAAACATCTGATGCACTGTACAATAAGACACTATCCTTCATAGGCACTGGCATCGTTGAACAACAGGAGTCCCCCTAGATGTTTTTCCTACAAAAACTGCTTTATCACTAGTGCCGTGTCCAAAATAAAAGGGGAAAAAAAGCAAAGCACTGAGCAAACCTTTAGTGGAAATTTGTGAAACAGCACCGGGAACAGACCCAATAGGCCGTGCTGCTGTTTCTTCTCGTTTTTATTAGGGTTTTAATGTAGTGCCTTGTTCGCTCTTCCTTCGGGGTTTCCACCAAAGGAAATCTGTCATTACTCTCACAGCAGAAAACTTCTTCCTTGAGGGCTTATGGAAAAAAATGCATGATGCTGCAAGTGAGCCATGCTGTGACTCAGTTTGGCAGGCTTTTAGGAAGAGGCTGAGCCTCACAAAAAAAAGAACAGTAATATATTGGTGTTAAGATTGTAACCACAACTATCCAAAGATAAAACAAAGCATATTTCTAAGTGAAAAATTTTGTTATACTACCTGGTCTAGTTTAGGGGGGAAGCCTTAGGCTGGTATGTATCAAAACCGCTCTTAAGTATCAATTTAAAATAGCTATTGTCTTTTCATCTAAAACTTAATATATTAGTAACAGGAAGTAACACAGAAGCTGCGAGCCAAAATTACACCTGTGCAAAGATATAGTAAAAGTAAATCTTGGCTCTTGAACTCAAAGGTAGGAAGTGCAGCTAGCTTCACCATATGCTGGGAAAACGGACCTTTTACTGAAAGTAACTGTTAAAGTAGCAGGCACTGGCTCCAGTAAGGTGGATGCTTGAACACACATTTCTCACTTGACAAATTTAAAGTGCAAGAGCTTCTTGAATAATGTGGGCTTTTTTGAGCTAATGAAAGCATAACATAGCAGCTTTTATTGCTTAGGTATATCTAAAGTGATTCTGTACTGTTGTGCTGAAGAATGAAATGAAGTTATTTGGATATTTGAATTGGTTGTGGTTTTGTTTAAATTAAGGAATATGTGAACCAACTAGGAAGTATGTTGAACAAACATGTAAAGCCTGACAGCAGGCTTGTTGGACTAAGTTAAGTTCAACAGAAATCCCATGAGGTAATTGAATGGGAAGGGTCTATACTTGCTGCAGTGGATCAGCTGGTCATGCTATGAACAAAGAAGTGTGATAAGACTATGACCAGGCTATATGTTCAGCTCTTAATGCATTTGGGTAAATGTGTAGAAGGGCTAATAGAAAAAGGCATTGTGGAAAAATGTTGGAGCTACTCTTACTTGCAGGATTTAAGTTCTAGAAACAAGCTGATTACTGAGTATTACCCTAGTCATTACAAAGTGTCACTGTTTGGAACTGTCTGTTTGGTTTCTTTATTTCAAAGCACCTGATTCTGCAGTGCAGTAAAACTGTCCTGAGGTGTGTTGGTTTCCACTGATGCTGCATAGTGTAGTGGGCAATCTGAAACACCTTACACTGGCTGCAAGCAGACAGCCAATTACATGAGAAAAATCTATCCAGGATGTTGGATGACTCGTGGATATTGTGCTGCTTTAACTTCTCTTCTCAAGGGGAAGACAGGATAGGCAGCTAGCTAAGATAAATGATTTAGCTACACAGTTAGGAATTCTGCATTTGATACTTATCTCAACATTAGAAAGTAGCTTTGCAGCTCTGCAGCTCTGCTCAAGAGCTTGTAAAAGGTCTCAAGCCATACGTGTACTGCTTCCAGCCTAATCTTACTGAAGGAAAGAAGGTTGATCACTGCTTGCAAACAGAAATTAAATAATACACTCTAAGATGCTGGCTATTGTAAAGCAAAGTCTCTTTCTCTGCTCTTTTTAAAGACAGCACACCTTTCTGTTGTTCCATGGAGGTTTCCCACTGCCGTCTCTAGGAGGATAGGTTCCCAACTAAACTTGCTGCATTTCTTCTAAGCAGCGTTGGCTAAAACAAATGATCCTTTTCTCTGACTATATTTCTGTATAGTCCAGCATTAGCAGTAAGGTTCCTGAAGTGAGGCTTGGTGATGGTTGCC